TGTGTTTATTCGCAGCGACGGCAACGCGATATTCGGCACGTAGTGAATCTTACTGCGTTCGTCTCTTTTGAAAGGCTTGAACCAAGATTATACCTTCTACAGTCCCTACTCGGCAAAGGAACAATTACGATGATTTCTTACTTGAGGGTACAACGGGATGAGAGATCTCCTAGGTAGATTTTCATGATTATCACGACGTGAGACAATCAATGAGATGGGAACTTTACAGTCCTTTCAATTACACTTATGAAATAAATATACCGTATGTATTATATTAATAATTAAATTTACATCTCAAGGAATAATGTAAAATTTTGGTTGTATTAACATAACAACAAATTTACTAAAAGTTATATTCAGATTTTTGTAATACATTTAACATGATATATTATTTGGGACAAATTTTGAGAATTTTTTTTGTATTTCTATTTCGTCATTCTATGTAATAGATATGAATCTGATAGATATGAATCAGTCATAAGGGATTTGACATTGATGAATTTTGTGATTTAATAGACTTTAAATTGCTACAGAGTTTACATACATCAGTTTATCGGGAATAATTTCGAAGAAGACACTAATGGAATACCTAATGTGTGTCGTTGCAAGCGCAATCGAGAAAATACGTGGACATGCTGTGCGCGCGAACTCATTAATGTCTGTTTGCAAAGAAGCGTTGAAATCGATGTTTCGTGAAACGACAGGAAAGGACTGTCTTAAAACAGCTGACTGGTACCAGTTATGCAAACGGTGTTCCCACGCGGCAGGTGCTACCATTCATGGATTTATTGGCATTATGTAATGACTCGTCACGGAATAAAAAATGCTGACAAAAATGCAACCGTACGAAACACCGGCCGACGGAGATTGTTGACCGATTAGAGGAGCTACCATTGGAATAAAATGGTACCAGTTCGTTAAACAGCGCCTCACCGCAAACCGCATAGAAACCGCATAAAATCTCTCCTAACGATGCGGAATTATCATATTGATTTTCATTGCAAATTGCCACGCGTGAAACGGAGCGTGTTAAAGAATGCAAAGGAAAAACTCACGTCACTCTTTTAAACCAACTTTTTCGGCGAAGAGAAAACTTTGTGACATACAAACTCGAAACATCTTTCACGGATCAGTGAAATATTGTTTCAGTGAGTTACCTAACCAATTCTTGTTTAATTAATACTTGTTAAGTGAAGCTAATTTCGATCTAGATTTGATGTGTATCAGCACGAAGGTTGAAAAACACTTTGTTGCGTCGATTTGACGAGAGTCGAGCTCGGTCGACGCAGATATAGGTAATTACTTCGAGTAGTCCGAGTGTAAAACAATATAAATTATAGAGACACGGCGTGCAACTATGCGCTTTCTATTTGATCACGCATTCGCAGTCGCGTCTCGATTACCGCCGGAAAATTATTGCAACACACAGCTACGCGTTGCCAGCGATCTTGCAACAGGCGAGAGTAAAATGCTTTTTCCACGACGTCGACCTAGACAAGTATAGTGCGAGACAATATTGCGCACGTGCGGATATGTAGATATTTATGACTTAATTGCGGTTCACTGAACTTTCTATTTCTGATCGCGATTTCAGCGTGTATAGATCTTAGTGTCCGCGTCACCTCGTTCTTCAAGCACCCTTCTCTTAATTTTACGCTAATTCCGGCGTGAAATTTACATCCCGAATTGATATTACACTCACATATATTCACGAGTCCACAAACATAAATTAGATTTTAGTTCTTCTCGACCTTTTGGCTTTTTGCGAGATGATAACAAGCTGTTTTCTTCAAATATAACCAATATTACATCACAATAATTCGGTATCAATAATTTGACCTAAATCCGTAAATCGTAGTCGAAACAAAAAAGAATACAAGAGGTTATCAAGCTAAACATAAACTATAGGATACGTGCCAGATATAAGCTTAATACGAGCATACGTGACTCATCACTTGAGCATATACGTGACTTCCCAAAAATATAAAAAAAAAATAAATTATCTTTTTTTTCTTGATCTACCAAGCTGTGTTTATTCGGTCGGCGCCGTTTTGCCAAGTCGTTTATACGCGCAATATAACAATCGCGAATGCCGAGATCTTTGACTCTCCGAGACATCACGCGGCTTTCGAACGGCATCCTTCGCGCATGAGACTGAAAATTAATCTCTTCTATACTTCCGCGATACTCATCGACATGCCTTCTAGCTGATTTATGAGAGGATCATTTAACGGTTAGCGCGTTATCAGTGCGCGTCGAGCGATGCAGAAGCATCAAAAAGAGCACCGCGACATACGCCACAGATATCATTGAAAAACCTGTTCATTCAAAAGAAAAAAAACATGTTGCTTGTTGTCAAGCACTGCGACAACAGATATGACGACATATCGCACATTAACTTATTTATAGTAACTGCACTTTTTACAATGGTAATTTCTGAATATGTAGCGTATCTTCATTATGCGTCATAAATCGCTTCTAATGTAACTAATAAAATCTACATGTTATGACATTATGCGAGGACGCAGACACTAATTTATTGCTTTCTATCTTTTTAATACGAGATTTATATAGATCCGATTATTCATTTCGATTATTCATTTCCTAGCTATTTAACCGGTGAACATAGTCGGCGTAGATGGAGAAACGATAACATCGAAACTAGTATATGAAAAATGCAGAGTCGTAACGTTTTGCTAGATGCCCCGTCACTACCGCATCAACACTTAATGGCAAATTCTTCGATTAGTCTTTTGCTTCCTGTTTCTCGAAGCCTACGAGTGCTCTTGCACGCTTCAAATGCATTATACTAAATATGTCATGTTCCGTTTCCAGTTAAGTACTTAAGTCGGAATATCTTTTTGATGCATTTAAATATCTACTATATGCACTATATATATATATATATATATATATATATATATATATATATATATATATATAATACCACAAATGTATTTCAAATGAATAAGAGAATGCTACAATCATAAACTTGGAGAAATAAGAAGCGAAAATTTTTTGATAAAGGCGACGTATGGCGCTGCAAAAAGGCTTAACCTTCACATAACATTTAAAGTAGATAGTCATACAAATAAACAAATTATGTACGCACGCGCATAAAACTTGATGACAACAATGGCATATTAAAGAACTCAAGTTCAAGCGGAAGATCGAAGTAGTTCTAACTAACAGTTAGCAGAACTAACAGTTCTCTCAGTTTGTGACAATAACGGGATCAAGATATAAAGCCATTGCTTTTAATCTAAAAGGTCCAAGGCTTATCGTTAAGGCACTATCTTGGATCGGAATCAAACGTGTAATAATAAAGTAATGCGCGAATCTGCACAATGCGAGTATGCCGTGTAATAAATTTTAATCCTCCAAGGATTTGCACGAGTTTCTACCTTGGAGCATGCAAATACATTCGTGATACATTCTTAATCGTGAGATGAACACAAATGGACGTATATATGTTCGTTAATAACAAAAAATATTTTTTAAATAAAATTGAAGAACACGCGTGGTGATAATTCTCTATTATATTATGAGAATATATTTCTGAATTATAGAAGATAATTTTCTTATATACATAAAAAATCCTCTTATAAAATATGTGTGTATATTCCGAAATTTCTATATAAAGCGAAAATACTTATAAATAATATTCGCACCTTTGCATTTTCATAATCACATTATGCCAATATCGATTGTCACGAGAATAGATAAATCGACGTTGCGTTGAATACAAGACAGAAAAAAGTTAAACGTAGTTTCAACGTGTAATAGATTGACTCATCAAATAAACGATAAAAAGTATAATTTCTTATCCTCATAACAAATTATTGAATGAGTCGTGTCGCACGGCACAGACATCAAGAGACCGACGCACTATTCACTTTTGACCTCTCCACTGTAATTCCAATCGCAATAATGCCCGCCGCGAGAGTTACAATACCGCGCTTCACTGATCAAAGAAATATAGAGAATTTCTCGATAGTTGTAAATTACGAGACGTCTGTGAAAGTTAACAGTCGCGTAACCCTTATTCAACCTCGATTTGAGACTGACGCCGAAGCCAAAACAGTGAACTCGTGAATTCAATCAGATAAAAACGTGAAGAAACGGTAGTAGTGTAACAGTGAATCATTCGTTCGTAGAGAATTAAATCTTGCAATTAAATCTTGCTACCTCGCTGAGCTGCATTTCAGAATAAATGACAAGGTGGTGATAACTGTATGAATAATAATTAAACAAGTCTTGTGTATATAGAATGAGATATTTATATAACTATTTAGTACGTGGAATTAAATATTATATAAAACTTAATAAATTATTTTATAGTTATATCGCTACTAAAGCCGAATAATTGCGAGGACAATATAGTTACTGTATAATTCTCATTTAACTTTTGCTGCAATAAATATGAAATAATATATTAAACATTAATTCTACGTAAAAAACTTATATAATTGTCATCTGTATTGTCATAGTTGCTACCATCATGTCTTTTTCTTTGAGTGTAGTTACGTTGTCTAATAATTACACGTTCAATTTCTGACATTTTCTTTCAATTTCTGATTTCTAATATTCTCTTTGGCAAATCTGAAATCGGCTGTTTCTCATGAAAATTTAATGGAGCACGTGTAAGACTCTTGCCACGATGAATAATAAAATATGCAAAATCAATCAAGTAATTGGAAAAAAATTAAATATCCGCGATATGAGGAAACAAATGTCGAGACTTTTCCCTTGAAATAGCTGCACATACGGGGGATTATTTCGTCACGTAGAAGACCTCGTGTAGGGAACGACAACGGCACGAAGTGCATGCGGAAAAGCAACGTAAAAGATCACGAGGAGCAAGGTTACTAGAAATATAGCTGATTAGAGGTATCTACCTGATCAGTGATTTATAGTCTTTTGCGGCCACTCCGCTATAATTTCAGCGAATTCACCGATCATGTGCGCATGGTTAACGCCCTTTCCCTTCATGCTTACAGCTATTTTCATGCTGATGACTCTAGGCTTGCTCAGCATCACGTTCGGTTGGCTCACACTGGTAATTCACCCGTACGACGTCTTGTTCAATTGGAAGTTACAGTTTGGCGAGGGCGGCGAGATCTTCGAGATATGGCGTAAACCTGAAGTTAATCTTTACCTGAAGGTCTACCTGTTCAACGTGACGAATCGTGACGAATTCTTACAAGGTCGCGAGAGCAAGCTGCGATTCCAAGAAATAGGCCCTTACGTGTACAGGTAAGTAGAATAATAATGCAGTTATACTCTCATACCTTTTCCTCCTTAGTTTTCAGTAAAGATTGCATCACAAACACGTCGCGAAATAGAGTTTCTACGTAACTTTTTAATTGTTGCTTCGGTTCGTAATTTATTTTCCAAGCATCTCACAACGATACTATCGCGAAAAGAATTTGAAGTCAAACGACCTCTCCAATTTACGTCAGAAAAATCCATTTTCTTGTTAAACATCCTTGATGTGACTACATAACGTGTGCGACTTTTCCAGAAGATTTGCTTAGAAATATAAAATGCGGTGCAGTAGTCCGTTATAAAAATTGTATAAATTAGAAAAACTCTTAGAAAAACCTCTTAGAAAAACGCGTTCACAATAATGTACGTTTAATTATATGTTATTAGTAAGTCATTGAGGTAAGAAATACAGATTACGCATGTAAAAAAAAGTAGATCGAGCAATTAAGAGACGGCTGGAAAACCCAATGGAATATATTCTCTCTTAACGCGAAAGAGAATAACTGCGGAAGATGGAAGCCACGCATAACGGCATGGTCGTTAGTGACACTTCAAGAACCATCACGCAAATGTGCCATCACGCAAATAATAATTATTTTAAGTCAACATACAGGATCTAGTTTCCACCAATGCCGAAACATATATGCACACTTAACCATTCCAGATATACAGGTTTCTTCGCGTGTTTCTTCTCTTCTTCCAATGTCGCCACCACCGTCCTCTGATTCTGTATTTTTTATTTTCGTAGACGTCTGTTTCCGTAACGATACACATTTGCATTGAATTTCGTTGAACTCGCACGGCCAAACAGGCACATTGCGTTGAGGCTGTTCTTGAGATATTTTAAATCCTCATTCATCTGCTAGTCAGTAAATCCGCAAATAAACTACACTTCAACGAGTGTATACTTTATAAGTTACTCGTTAAGTACCTCGTATGTTAACGGCGAAGAAAACGAGATAGCGAGAACAGATTAATATTGAGAAGGAAGAAGTATCGAGGCAAGGTAAGTCCGAACTGGTCGTTCCTTTAACATATGCTCAACTTAGAAGTATGTACAAGATGTTTGACGCTAAACACTTCATATTTCGTGTACATATAGATTCGATCAAATTGAATACAAAATTCCACTGCTACTTTGCAAACCATGGAAAGCTTTGAGTTATTGATTAAAAAGGATTGGTGAATGATTACACACGATAATGCATCAATGTTCCTTCATTGATGACTACAAATTTACGTAATTATTTGCAAAAGGGCAGAGAATTTTCTTGTTCAATCTGACCTAATCTACATGTACATGAGATATAGGACGCTTAATATCAGACATCCTATATATGCTTCGCGCGAAAATTTATATAACTAATCTTCATTTGAATACTGAATTCTTTTTAAAAATATCTGAATTGAAATTACTTCATTCATAAATTCTCGTGAAGAAAATTCTTTTCTTTTGTATATTCTATCTTCGACGTATTTCTTACCGACGATACTTCTCACTTCGTACGATTTTGGCGAAAATTTGGTTGTGCGTGAGACTACGTATTTCAATGTATTCTCGTAAAGTGTGTTTCGAATGTAAGAAACAATTGCCTAAACATAGGCGTGTTAATCAAGTGCACGTAATAATAAATGTTAATAGCATCGTATTTGGTTTCAGAGAATTCTTAGAGCACGCGAATGTAGTCTTCAATGGCAACGGAACGCTAACAACAACACCATTTCATCCGCTGCAGTACGTCCCGGAAATGAGCAACGGTACAGAAGAGGATCTCGTAATAATGCCGAATATAGCGTTACTCGTAAGTAACAATCTTAAATCTTATTCTCGTGCATAGGAACGAATGACGATAAAAAACATGACGCGACAAAATGTTTTCCCAGAAATTATCTCAAACACGCCAGCGAGACACGATTTTCATGTTATGCACGTTTTCCCTGATTAACGAACACGTACGTGCTACAATATTCGATCATGAAATTTAATGAACGTGTTAATTTGAAGAAACAGGATGTCTAAGAAATGAATCGGTACAATTATCAAGACTTCTTAAGGATTTTACTCTTATTTCTGTTTGCTTTTATACTTTTTGCGAAACACTCGCGTTGAACTTGATTTAAAAAAGGTCTTAAAGGTTATAATTATGGCCACAATACAATGGTGCCCATTACCATCACACTGATTTACCATGACATCATTTTATAATATACATCATGTTGATATTGAAAGTCATCCTTGCTTTAAGCAAGAAAGTCAATCATGTAGTTATGAATATATAAATACCGTGACGTTTAACATTATGATGAATCACGCCGCAAATATGTAAAATAAGGCAAGAGATAAATTGGCTGCTAACTTTGCAAGGACCAGTGCTGTGTGTCCACTTTCCACCAATTTTGACACTCGAGCGATGAAAACAAGTTCTCTCAAGTAGCTCGTATTTTATTGTGGTTTAAGCGAAGGAACTCTAGAAACTTCTAGAATCGTGAAGATGGAAAACAAGATTATATCGTGCGGTTTCGAATGATATGTGGCATGTCATTATCGGCATACTAATTACACTGTAAAATCAGATAAAACTATCTGACAATTAAGTCACATTATTATTTAGTAATGAGAAATCGAGCGAAATCTTCCGTATTCCCGGTATGCGAAAAATTCTTTGGAGAGAGGTATTTGATTATCGAGCACGGTGTAATTAAGTGAAGGACACGTATCGCTTCATTATTCGCGACACATCATGAATCTAACTCATACACGGTCGTTCAGACTTCCGAAATTTTATCGGATGTGATTTGACGCAACGCGCGACGAGGTGATGGATCGAAACGTAATGATGGAAGTAATATATAATGGACTTATACAGGGTGTCTCACACTCTCCTCCGGGCATTTTGTGGGGACGTAGAACAGGTTGAGGTAAACATAAAAGTCCTATGTACCGTTTTGCGATATTCGCAATAATTATCGAGATATTAATTGTAGAAAATTTGTGAATGATCATACAGGATATGGTAAATAAGTTATAATAGCGACGACTGCAGGCGTCGTGTACTTATACTTTAGATCAAATTGAACAAAAAAGTCCTCTACCATTTTGCAAATAATCACAAACATTTTTAATTATTAATTAAAGAAGATGAGTGCATTATTACGCAAAATCGTGCAATAATCTTCTTTAATTAATAATTAAAAATCTATGTGATTATTTGGAAAATGGTAGAGGACTTTTTTATTCAATTTGACCTAGTATAAGTACACGATGGTAGTCGTCGCTACCATAATTCATTTACTATATTCTGCATGATCATTTACAAATTTTCTACAATTAATATCTCGATAATTATTGCGAATATCGCAAAACGGTATAGGACTTTTATGTTCATCTCAACCTATTCTACGTCCCCACAAAATTCCCGGAGAAAAATGTGAAACATCCTGTATATTAACTAGCCGATTGATATGAATCGCATTGATGATAATTGTTGTAGTAAAAAGAGACTTGAATATTTCACCTAAATATTACTTTATTAATAACGCACAACTCGCCTTTCAGTACCACGCGATTGGATACGTACTAAAGCCAGTCTAGAAATAAAACCAACAAAAAACAGTTATACTATTGCGCTTATTATCTATTTGCATAATCAAGAAACAATTAAAATTTTTACCAATATTAACGTTTGCTCGATATCAAGGATCTCGTATTTTATCGCGGTGTTCCCGATAAATAATTTTCGACATAAGTAATTTTCTAAATATTGTAAAATATAAGATATTACAATAATAGCAATATACGAACACAAGATATTGTAATACTAACAAAAACAACAGATAAAAATAAATATTGAAACAAGGAACACACATTTACCGATGTGAAAGAGTTGCAACACATGACACATGCAAAATTTATTGCCGATACTAAGCCGCATTGATACAATTAAAGTTCATCGAAAACTCGAATTTTGCTAACATTTATATGGTTCAATCTGTTCAATGCAAACCAATACTTCGTAAATTTCAGCCGCTAATTATAACCAGTTTTGCAACACTCTCGGGAATTCTCCTTATTTGCGTATCTATTCTCGAGGTCATTCAGGAATTCTTATTGCGCGTGAACTTATTGGCGACACATTCCATTCTTACACAACACAAACTATACCCTCTCGAAAGAAACAAGAGAGATACGTATGTTTTGATAATAGTTAATTTTACCCGCGTTGAGAAACCGCGTATAACATTTTCCGAATAAACGGTGCTTCGATAGATATTTACCAAATAGCAAAATGCTAAATATGCATTTTAAAGAAATATAGAACTCTTTCGAGATGTTAAATCGCAGTAGCAGTTTTTTATGGTTTATTCGATTCCCAAATTATATTGCAATTACATTATATAATTGTGCGCGTAGCTATTGTGATTTTAATATTGCTACATGATTTTGTAATTATCATGAGAATATATATTAGTCACATATATTAGTGTTAAATAAAAATTAAATAATCTGTATCACTTCGAAGTTACATTTTCTATTCTGCTAATTACACTTGATATACGTAATATTCATCAGATTTGATTGATATTATAAATTATAAATTATGAACACGCACATAATTAGTCGCATTCTCGTTTTAAAGAAAAAGAAATTTTTAGTAAAGACATGTATATATACAATACTCATATAACACATGTATATATACAATATCTCGATACAGTTAAACAATTATCTTCGCTAAAACGTAAATAAATGTTTACACGTGATTATATATCTTATTTGTTATTTGTTACATATTATTGAATATTTTGGATATCATAAAAAATGTTTAAATATAATATATTAAGTAAGTTCACACCTATGTATCTAAATGTTATATAATGTAATTGAGATATAATTTGTGATATGAATATTACGTAAACAATAAACTCTTGAACTCCATTTAATGAACTTTGAGTAATATGATCGAGTAATACATATCAATGATAATTAAATAATCCATTGACGCATTTCTAATCGTGTCTCTAATCGCGTTTCTCTAGAATATCATATCGCATTAACTCAAAAAAAAAGAATTCAAAATTTTTAACAGTGTATGCAACAAATCTCTCCTCATTGTACGAACATATTCTTAAAAAATTAAAATAAAATCCAAAGAAAATGTGACAAAAAATACAATTCGTCATAATAAAATAAAGGAAAGAAAAAAAAATATAGACTTATTTTATCGTGGTTCACGCACAATGATAAATGAAACTTACTTAAAAGCGCTTAAAAATCCTTTAAAACGCGGCAAGTACAACATTCGCGTTTCGATTAAGTGGTCTGAATTCTACAAAAGTCCTATTACAAGATTAGTCACAGCAGGATAAGTGTACTGCAATAATGCATTTGCGCGTCGATATTTCTTGCGTAAACATAAATCTACCCGTTACGGTGGCCACGTTGATTGCATTAGAATATTGAAATATTGCGGTTACGGGCAAATTGGATATAAACGTTAAATTTAAGCCGCTATTCATTCAGTGCGCGTAAAGTGCAGCGAACCATAATTCGCGAGGAATCCACTTGAGCAACGCACAAATCGTAAAGTCGTCAGTCGAAAGCAACAGATACGCCATAAACGTCGTTTTATCTGTTTGAAAAGGTCGTACGAGAGAGAAAGTGTTTAAAAGAATTATTTCTTCTATAGCAAATTTCTTTTATAACTATTACTATTACTATTACTTTTATAACTATTACCGAACGCCTCATTTGAAAGAAATGGAAACTTTATAATAAACATCATTGACAATTATTAACATATCGTAAAAGAAAATTACTATTTATTTCAAGCCTGAAGAATGCAATAAGGTATTTTATGCGTGTATATATTGTCTTTATCTCGATCGCAAGCTATGCAATCTTTCCCGATATGTTAGAAAAATCAGCCACTGTAGATATAATTTAAATTTACAATTAGAACGTATGCGAAGTAGGGTGTAAACTGGTAGGCGCATTACCTGTTGCAGTCTTTGCTCAATTAATAGGTACTCACCGATTTTCTCCATTGACGGGTCAGAAAAACGTAGAACTCGGCGATTATCCCTCTCTCTTTTTTCTTCTTCTCTCTCTCGACTGGCGAAGTGCTGCAATACCACGTTCACACTTTATTCGACACTCCTAATAGGCCACTCAGCGAGTTTGTTCACTTTGATGATGAATCGCCGCAAACACTCGGCACTATCTGCAATGATAATTTAGGCGTGAAACTTGTCTCCGACGAGTCTAAATTGCAAAATGATTTTTCGAACACGAACCGACACGTTGTGATCGCGTCAATTGCGATTTTCGAAGTAACGAACACGACAAGCTGTATTCTGTTCCTTTCACTTTTCGGCACTATCTTTTCTCAATAATTTGTTTCGAAATATTTACTTAAGAATTTTCAACACTTTGCTATGATATACATACGACGTTTAATTTCGACATTTTCGACGATAATCTGCGCGACGCAAGACTCACCTTACATCGATCAAACACTCAAAAAAATGATCTTGCAGTCATAGCAAAAATTAGATACAAGAAATTAGCAGAAACAAATAAGTGATTGATAAATACTAATGATTGATAAATTTTCGTTGTACCCAAATCCAGATTAAAGTCAGTCACACTTTTTATGAAAATTGACTGTGATAGATAAAAAGATTAGCTACATGGACAAACGAATATATAATCCTCATGTCTATCTAAATTTGCTTGCAGATGTTATTAGAGTGCTGCTGCTGTAAATTTTAAATATTGTCCCTAGCAGCACAATGCATTGGACCAATATTGAAACTACAGCTAATGTAGAATCTATATTAATATATGCTGCTGGGGATACCATAGATAATTTTGAAAAAAATAGCGATAAATTTTAACTGCAAAATTTAGAGTTTTATGTGGACCAGTAAAACATTTTGTTGAGTGCATATGGGACAGCGATGCGTTTTCCTAACCACGAATACTACGAACGCCCGACACTGTTCGACATTTCCAATCGCCCGTTTGCACAACATTAATTTCCAACGATTAGACGACAATACTTTGTCACGACACTCGCGTGAAACTTACTTTCGGCAGTCCTGATGACAACAATTCGCACGCGAGATTCATTTTCGATGAGCCGCAGAATGGTTTTTCGAACGGAAACTGATGCGACATCGTCGCGGCGATTACGATCTTGAACTATCGAACGCGGCAAACTTCACTTGGCACTCTCGATGATCCGTTTCGGAATGTTCACTTTTGAGGATACCTAACAATACTTTATCATACGATATACAGTGAATTGTAAGACGGTTTAGACACAATGATGAAGTGATTCTCAATTTTGGAAAGTTTGGTGAACTCCCGACTTCATTGTGTCTAAACAGTTTTGCAACCCGCTTAATTTCGACATTTCCGACGATATTTTGTCAGAATTTATTTTCGGCCGATTAAAAATATAAGAGACAGTGCTATCTTTCTAACCACAAAGCGAACATCCAACACTGTTCGGCAGTGATAATCCGTTCCGCGAGATATTTACTTTCAACGACCATTTGACGATACTTTGTTACGATACCCATATGTAGCTTAGTTTTGGCACTTCCAGCGACTATAATTCGTGACACGTGAGACTCACCTTCGGTCGGTTAAGATCACGAGAGATGCACAACGGCTCTCGAGTCCGAATTGCCGCGTCGCCATTATTACAGTTGCGATCTCGCCAAGTATCGATATCGACACTGCAAACCACCCAATCACAAGGACTTATGCATTTACAAAAAGCCGCGCAGTATAAAATACGGAACGTGCCGTTATGTTTTCGCGAACTTTCATCGCTTGATTAATTTGTATTTATCGTATCTTTTTACATGTGGAAAGTAGATTATTCGCTCACAGAAAAGCTGAAAATATTAAATCTATTTTGGTCGTATTTTCTATATGGATAACTATAACAATGCACAATTTTACTAAAAATAGAAAATATATTTATGCACATATAAATGTATATGTATCTTTATAACATATAGATAATAATAAGTTATAAAATGAAAGTCGTATTTATAAATTAACTGTTTAAATATTGTGACAATTATACAAATTCTCATAATGGTATCCTTAATCATGTTTTCAATGCTACTACAAATGTTATTATTGTTACGATTATCAGCAAAGTCGATGACCCTGGTAATCGCGCGGAAAAGCAACATCTGAAGCTTCATTTTTCTCTTTGTTAAAGGTTTCTGATACGTCGCAATTAATTTGATAATGAGTGGCATTATAACAAAACAGCACTGATAATATAGATACATTTATTCTTTCCTTTATTGAAGGAAGTGCTAATACTTACACATAATAAAAATCCAATGTAATAACAATGATAGACTAATATCGAATGTTATTACATAAGTAGTATTTTTATCATACATAAGTAGTATTTTTTTATTTTCGCATTCAAAAAATTTCTCACGTATATTTAATAACATTTCAATATACAATTAGACAATTACATTTCTTACCAAATTAAAGTCAGTATTTAACTACAATTATTTGTAATAACATCATAACAATTGGTTCTTACAGAATATACTAAACAATCTAATTATAGGTCTATATATTTATATCATCTCTGCATTCTTTAGTTATTTAAAGTCAACTTTTTCTTTTACAACTTGATATTGACACATTATTTCTCAATGTATTAATGTGACTATATTCAGTTCCTCACAGTCGAATGATATTATAAAATAATTTATAGCATGTAGTAGTTTTAAGTAAATTAAGTTTAGGACAGACCAGCTTGTGCGAATAATTATTTTCTTTTTTTCAAACTTATTAGGAGTAACCAACTTTTACATAACACTATTCGATTATGCACATGCCATTGACTGATAATGCAATAATGACAGTTACAATTAAAGCGATGTCAGCGACTTGACCCTCGTAGAGCACGCGAATAATAGATCTGCAAAGTATAGTGTCAATTATATAATATTGATGATAGGTTATTATAATAAAATTAGTTGTATTTTAATTGAAGATAATAGCTTGATCGGCAACTTGTCTTGACTTAGCCAGATAATAACACGCAACTTACGTATCGTTACAGAGCATTGCGAACGTTATGAAAGACGCTTCGTACTTATCCAGGTGGGGGCTAAACACGCTGATCTGGCAAACGGATTCTCATCCTCTGGTAGAAATGACTGCGCGCGAATTTATGTTTGGTTACAAATCGACTCTGGTTACTCTTGGTAATAATGTGATGCCCTCCTGGATCAAATTCGATAAACTTGGATTAATCGACAGAGTAAGAAATGATTTTCACAAACTCTACGGCTTTTTTAATTGTGAAATCTAACAATACTTGTAATAACTTCAAATGACTTTTACGATATATTTTTACCTCGATTGTTAGTTCGAATATGTTAATTAGATTCAGAAACTAAGAATTTATCGACGAGTCTATATGCAGAGAAAAAGTCTATATAAACGTTGCGTTTCTTATATCTTTTACAGATGTACGATTTCGACGGCAACTTCGAAACTGTCTACACGGGAGAGACCGATGTCCGATTGTCGGGTTTAGTCGAAAAATACAACGGAAACGTTGACCTACCGCATTGGACCGGTAAATGCGCAAACGTAAATGGCTCGAGTGATGGCTCCAAGTTCCCAAGTTTCATTCAGCCGAATGATACGATCCTCTTCTTTCGCAGGAGTCTCTGTCGGAGTGCACGGATGGTAATTTCAGTTATTGCAATTCACTTCGGGCGAATCGTTACCTCGTCTCCTCGAGAATTTTCAGTCGAGTCATGCCATTCGCCTGCAAATAGTTTATCTATTATTGACTTTCCATTTGTGCCAAATCCTCATAAGTTGTTCTTACGAGAAAAGTAACCTTTGAATAATTTCATGTCAATTTTTCTCTCGCAAAATTTCGATATTTAACAATTAGACATGTTCCTAATATATGAACATACATACACATATGTAACATATCATCCATTAATCCTTCTAAAGGTACGAAATGGTGAAAAAACAATAAAAGGCTTACATTCGTATCAGTACGGGTTCATAGAGAATGAATTGGATAATGGAGCAGTAAATCCAGAAAATAAATGTTTCTGTCGTCAAGGGGTATGCTTGAAACCTGGTTTTATTGATGTGACCGATTGTTACTACGGTAAGATATTTATGTACTAATTAATCAATACTTAGTTGTTTTACAGGAAATCATGAAGAATACATAACAATCGATCTGTATAACTTTTTTCTTATATGAATAAATAAAACTAATAATTACTAAATAATAATAATAATAGATGTTGCGCAATGCAAGTTATAACTAAAAGAAACATCGAAATTTTGGAAATAATAATCTTTATCTTTGCGACTTATATAAATTGTTAGAGAAAGTACCTCAATTTTCTTGTCATCAAATATATACATTCGTAAAAAAATGAACTTTTTGATTCGCATCGTAAAAACGATAACTCTCAAGTCATGGCCTGCTGCAGCCACTTCTAGTTGTAGTCATATTGTAAGATTGCTTCGGTCGCGTTGTAAAAAATTTGTGATTTCAAGTCTGGATACGTGAGAAGGATAAGAAAACAATAATGATTAAACGATCAATTAGCAGCAAATTATTCTCGTTTAGAACTGTTTGCTTCCGCAAACATTCAGAATGTTCAACACGAGTTCGAATCAGCGGAACTAACGACTTAGACGTAACGCCATAATTTTTCCGATCGTAATGTATTATGTATTTATACCGGTACGCGTGCGACGAGAGAGAAAGAGCGAGAACGACGCGATAAATGTTTGTTTAAGACAAGATAATAGCATCATGTTACATCGATTACGTCTTAACGACTAAGAAGCTGCACCTACAGCACAATGATTGATGTATATTTTACAAGAATCGCGAGCGTGTTAACATCTTTGTACCATAATTTAACAATTTTGTTATTTTGTTTTTTACGAAAGAATATCTAGACCAAAAAGACTTGTTCTAACAAAAAATCACTTCAATTTCTTGCAGGATTCCCGATCGCTTTGTCATACCCGCACTTCTACAAAACTGACCCGTCGTTCTTGGAAGCTGTCGAAGGTCTGGAACCTAAGGAAGAGTTGCACAAGTCCTATTGCTATATTGAACCCACATCTGGATTACCCACAGATCTAGCGTTCCGCTTTCAAATCAATATGATGTTACAGAATATCAAGCATACGACCAGAGTAGAAAAATTCAGCAATTTTGTACTCCCACTGTTGTGGTTCGAAATCGTAAGTAAAGCTTAAACATTCCTGCAATCGATATCGAACACCTGCAATAAAAAAGTTTCTCTTCTCAGGGGATGTATGAAATACCGGATGCTTTGAACATACGTTTCTTGTTTTATCTGGTTATCTGTCCTATCATGCAGGATGTAATAATATACCTCTTCTTCCTCTCCGGTATGGTGCTCCTCGTTTGGAGCATTGTGAAGATACTGACTTATCAGAAAAAGAGATCGTCCGTGAATTGGATGGAAAAGGAAATGTCGAGAAGAAGACAACGGGCCCAGAACGACAAACAAACTGATCAAATATCGCGAGAAATTGATACGTATAGTTCATTATTAATCTCTGATGATATAAATCTGACGAATAATAGTGTAATAATTTAATAACAAAGCCGCGATATATTAAACGTCATTTCTTTAAAAGTCTTGGGCCAGTTCACCAGTAAGCGTGTATAATAAGTGTGATCACTTAAACATGAAGAAAATTTATAGATTTCGATGAACGGGAATCACGGTGCGTTAAACGGTCCTGTACAAAAAGAAAGAACGGAATAGAATCTTAAAAATAGTAAAAAATGTAAATTTTTACCTAGCTTATTACAATGTTCTACTTGCAACGACATATTCAACTACGCAGTGATGTTAATATGGATGAGATATTATACAGCAAGATACAGTATTATATTGTCATATTTCTCTCTTTCTTTCTGTACATTGTTATAAATATGCTCAATTTTTTATACGAATATCATCGTATCAAAAAAGTCACGAGAAATTTGATCGACTTTATCAAATGCTTTTTTTTAATTTAATTTAACTATCAATGCTTTTCTCTTGTTAAATAATTGAAGAATTGAGTTTTATTCTAGTAATATTGAGAAAAACTTGTTTTTCTCAAAATTTTCAAAGTTGTTGAAATCATTCTTTAATTCACGACGCATGGTCTCGCTATAAATTAAAATACAGTACAATTCTAATAGCGCTATTGTCACTCTATCTTCTTAATATTGAAGGAGATTATTCTTTTGCTCATGACAATCGTTCGCCATAGGAAACTTTTCAACAAAGCAATCTCATTACTATCATATGCTGTTTACGTAGTCTGCTCATGGAGAAAAATAATTTGCTGACTCAGCAAATGTTCTGCTAGTCTAGCAAAATCTTTTCGTTATTATGTGGATAGCAAAAAGATTTGCTAAGAGTACTAATTACTATTTGCTGGATATAATTTGCTAAATCTACAAATTATTTTGCTATAAAAACCATGATAGATTTATATAAGCAGTTGCAGTTTTGTTCCGATAGTAAATAAATTTGCTAAGAATACATTATTTCGCATCAATAGTAAATTGCATTAATAGCAACGTAATTCTTAGGACAAATATACTCAACAAATTTTTTCTATCCTGGCAACAAAACTACTTCTGCTCTGATAACGAATAATTTGTGAAATTTGTTACGTCAACTAAATTTTTTTTATGTCACTACGAATATGCAGTAGCAACGACGATTTTGTTAAAAGAGCAAAATTATTTTTTTCCTTGCTCGAATCATGCGATCCTGATGACGTTAAATTCTACGATAAAAATATTGACAAAAATTAAATAAATTCTGTTTGTAACGGGGAATTAATTATCAAATAATTGCCGGGACAATAAATTGACTTTAACAAGACAAAACGTATTGATCTTGGAATAATTCCAAGCATTTTTATACAAATATTATACTACTTATAAAGGTACCTCACATATGTGTGTTAAATGTTGACAACGTTTGAAGTGTCAACGTATTATTATTGAGTAATCGCCGATTGCTGTACATTAAATCATATGACATATATTAATGTACATAGTACATTAAATCACTGTCATTTCATTATTCTCTTTATCATCTATTTCGTAAAAACGTACTCAAATCAACAAAAAATATGATATCCCTTATAGAAATATCATACTAAGAATCATTAATAATTACTTATTTTCAGTATTAAAAATACTGGATAATAAGTAATTATCAATGATTCTTAGTATGATATTTCTATAAGGGATGAATATATATTTAAAGTAAATATACACACACATTCATCATACCGATTTTATCGAGTTGAAATCTTAGTTAAAAAACATTACATTTACGATCTTACTATTTCTACCGTATATTTGGAGATACGGATAATTCCCCCAATTAACGACAATAATAATCGTCATGTTCGTGAAACAAAAGCACTTCATTTCGAGTAGTGCGTTTGTAGTTTACATTACCTGCGTTTATCTCGTACCGTTTCACTGTAAATATGTAAATAATAGATTAGTACGACTGCAAAACGATTGCAGAGACAGAGAAAAGTAGTGTACACACAGATTAGTAGCATTTATTTTTTGTAAAAATAAGAATAAGCTCTTCATAGATCTGCAATTGATTTGCTATAAAATTCAAGAAACTGCACACTGTTTTAAGGGAGAATAGTAATTGTAATTTTTCATAGACAGACATAAATGACATAAATGACATAAATGAGCATAAATATACTCTGTGACCCAATGTGATATATTATATACACACGCGCGCGTGTGCACGCATACACAATTCTATAATCATTAAACGGCATGACATAACGACATGATCGTTAACATAATACGAAATGATATTTAACATCGTTAACATAATAGAAATATGATATGATCGTTAACATAATAGAAATATGATATTTAGATATGGTTAAATATTTTTATATTATCTCTGTATATATTACATGAGACTAGATATTTTATATTTGTAAAGTGTGATAATGTAGTAGACATTATAAACAAAATATTGTACATTAGAACAAGAAAGTTAGAATAATAAATAAATTATAATGGTATGACTCATTGATATGAAGTAAATTTTATTTTTCCTCTAACGCTCTGGCGCATGTTAAATTATAAACAACTATAGCTGCTAATACAATAAATACATGTTACAAATACATGAATATTGTATAGATACATTATTGAAAATTTATTCACAATTGAACTTATTAATTTTAAATGGCGTCGTTCTCCCATAGTTCGGCGGGTCGGCAAAAGTCATAAAATAACAGATTAAACTTGAAATAAAATTATTTTTCAAGTTTGGGTCATGAATCTTACGACAAAATTGTGTATCTCTTCCTTATCTGAAAACAGAATATTATTTCAAGAAATTTTTTCTGGCACATCTGTCAATTAATATTCTACATAATAATATTAAACATAACGTGTTAAAAAATCATCTCACCGAATATTTTCTTCCTCAACATACTGTAGTGCATTTCTCGGCAAGTTTTTGAGAACGTTGCTCTATCTGGTATACGCTCTGACGGGTAATATTTCATTAGGTACGATTTTAAAATTTCCGCTGTCTTAAATTGCATAGCTTTATCTGCCGGTACTCTCAGTCTATTACTACTTCTGCCAGAGTGATGTTTTGACTGAACCGACAGGTTCATCTCTTTATCCTTCTTTAATTCTAGATTAGTTTCTGAGGTTTCACTGTGCTGCCTTATTTTAATTTTATTTTTCTTTGTTATCAGAAAATCTTGACATGTGATATCAACGTTAGAAATTGAATGTATGTCGTTTCGAACAGCTTCAATGACAATCTTATCACCTGTGATTTTTTTATTAATATTTTTATCAAATATAGAATTGTCACTCTTATCATGTTCCTTGTGTTCAACTCTTTTTTTTTCTACTGGTTTTACGTCGTCTTCCAGATATTCGATAGATTCACGACTTCTTTTATTTTTACTCTTATCCTCGACAGTCTTGTCTTTATTTTTAACAGTCTCGACGATAAGGTCAACAGTTTTCGATTCTATTTCGATAGAAATATTGGAACTTTCGTTTGTAGTCTTTACAGGTGATCGCGTTGATGCCAAAATTTGCTCGTAAACGGATTTATTCGCTTTTTTAATACCTTTATCTATCTTACTTCTACGGGTTTTTAATTTGGAGGAACTTGCACCTGATTTGGACAAATGTATGTTGCTTTCATGAATTTTTCGTGCACAAACAAAGTCATTCGATATCTGCATCTGTGGTATGTTGTCTTTACGTGTACTTTTTTGTGCGCTACTAGTATCATTAGAAACGGATGTTTGATTTTTGGTTTGATATACTTCAACAATTTTAACCGGCGACTTCTTAGATCGAACCGTTTCACTTTTATCTGATGCTTGTAACTTTTTTTCATTTCTAATTTCTAACGCAGTTTTGAAAGCAGATGTAAAAATCTTTTTATTAATGTCATTTGATAAGCAATTGTTGCTGTTATATTCCATTTCAGATGTGTTTACTTCTTCCAGGGTAGGTATATCGCCAATATGAGAATCATTAAGCTCTATATTATGAGACTTAATAATATTATAATCACGTATCGCTTCATACGCTGTATTACTATTAGTGCATTTTCGTACCGACGAAATCTGTGTATGAGTACGTAAAATAAAGATAATTTATGGCGCAAAATTTTAAATATATAAGTTTATGACAATTTTATATGTAAAATATCAATTAATATATTAAAATAATTTATACTTTTGCCCAAAATATTCAAACTTTGAAAGTATTCTTTCTTTTTCTTTAATCATTTGCATCTGAGGGCTATGTGTGTATATCTACAGAAAGTAATACGTACCAATTTAGACATATCAAACTTGTATTTATTTGGCACCTTAGTACTGGAAAATATTTTGTATTCCAAATCACTGGCTATATTATGCACTTCGTTCTCCTGAAGTTGTTTACTATCCTTCAAACATGAATGTTGATAATTTTCAAACAACATCGTTTTTAATTCATTGTAAAGATGTTCTCGCACCTAAAAGTAATTAGTGATCATATGAATATTAGTGATCATAGAAATAATGAGAATATTATCGATTAAATGCCAAAGAATAATTTTAATATTGTTGCATGATACCTTACCTGAACAGTTAATCCCTTTATTTTTCTATCAGTACTACTGGCTGCATGAACATGCGCCTTTTTTGCATTCACGATGTTTTGACGCCTGATCTATACATATATAAGAAATACAATATAAAAGCAGAAATTAAAAAAGATTTGTTTACAACCACAAACTTACTTCGTCTTCTTTAGATACCCCACGTCGAAGAGCAAACTGCTGCATAATAAGTTCTTTAGCCTCTTGTTTTTCAGCTGCTATTATTTTCTCTCTTGATTCTTTCTCGAAAGATGCATCGCTACAATTATAAGTAATATTATTTATAATTATCATTTTAAAACAAACAATAAAATTCTTATTTTTAAAATTGAATTATTTTTCACATACTCTTCATCATCTTTGTCTGTTCGCATTATACTGCCCAAGTTGCCTCGGGATTTTCGAGATCTCGACTGACACATTTCAAACTGTGAAATCCTTGCTTGCACTTCGTCCTTATTTTTACATACATCGCATTTATTCTTGCATAATGGTGGAGAATCTCCAAAGTATTTAGAAAACACTGCATGTCGACATCTAATGGTATAATAAACATAATTATTATCTGAATATTTCGCAGAAAAATACTTAATCTATGATCTCTATCGAACGTACTTCGTCTCTAAACAATATGCAACGCTTTTTTCAAAATTCTCCCATTTTATTTTCACAAGCTCCGTTTTCTTTCCTGTGATTTCCTCTTTGATGAGAAACGAAATGGGTCCAAATTCTTCATTACTAAAGTAAATCCTGCAAAATGCCGGGTTGCCATCTCTACCAGCTCTTCCTGATTCTTGATAATATGCTGCAATATTTTGAGGTACTGTCCAATGAACCACAAATCTGCACAATATATATATCGTAAAAATATATTTATTTTTCTTTTGTAATATTGTTCCCAAATAATGGAGATGCAACTAGTATTGTGCAACATTTTACCTGACGGATCCTTTGTCAACACCCATTCCGAAACTGCATGTTGCCGCGATAACAGGTACTTCGCCTACAGTCCACTTATTTTGCACTTCATTACGTTCTTGAGCTTTCAAACCTATTTAGGTGTTAAAATAACAGTTTGTACAAGTTTAATTATCAACATGTTGGTAAAAGTTATACGTACTTCCATGATACGCTAGCGTAGTAATACCAGCTAGACTGAGTTTATGTGCAACAATTTCAGTAGCTTCCTTCTTCCTACAATAAATAATACCACAATTCCTCTTATGCTGAAAGTATATGAAAAATTCATATTATTCTAAGTTATCTGATGGATAATAGTGATAATAAAATATAGCTCACCATAGGGATGGTATCATCTGAAGGACCAAGTGCATTCAAAATAAAGTTTTTCAAATGGATAAATGGTTTATCTAATGTTTCTAGGAACCATACATCATAAAATAAGTTAGAACGAAATACCGGCTGAGAAAATATTAAGGCATCTTTCATATGCAGACTTTGAAGAATATCATCTTTTACCTAAAACAACATGGAAAATATATAATACTATAATATATATAATAGTATAAATTATATAAAATATATAACAATTTTTATGAAACTGTAAATTTTATTATTTTACGTGATACCTGCTTTGCAGCAGTTGCCGTTAATGCAATGACAGGTATATCTGGACACAATTTTTTGAACACTCCTAGCTGTCTATAACTTGGTCGAAAATCATGTCCCCATTCACTTAAACAATGAGCTTCATCAATAACAAAGTAAGAGAGTGTCTTTGCTTTTCTTAACTGAATTATAGTTTCCTATAAATTAAAATAGTATGCATTATAATTATATAATTTAAATTAAAATTTTGATACTTTTGCTACATATATAATTTTTTTAAAATTATAGCTCATATTTTAGAACATACAGAAATAAACAAAATATAAATTAAGAAAAGTAGATTAAGTTTATTACAATCTATTAATATACTAAGAGAAGATTATGGAGGTATAAGAATGCTTATTAGTCACATATGTAAAATCTGAGTAAATCACAAAAGAATACCTGGAAATGCTGTTGGGCTCCCATTTCAGGAGTGACATATAACAATCTGATTTTAGGAGAATCGGACATGAGATCATTCATAATCACACTCCTTTCTTTACTTGATGTAGTGGAATTCAAGGAACATGCATTTATCTTCTTGTTTATCAAAAAATCTATTTGATTCTAAAAGAAAATCAAAACAGTATATAAGTATAGATATAAAGTGTAAAAAATAAAATTTTATTTTTTATATATTTGAAAAATACCTTCATAAGAGCAAGAAGTGGAGAAAACACAATTGCTACTTTGTGTTCTTCCATCACTGCCGGTAGTTGAAAACAGAGAGATTTTCCTGAACCAGTTGGCATACACACAAATACATCATGTTTCCCTAAAATTATCATAAACGCTCTATTTTCTCCTTTCTTATTTCTACATTTAATAAATATCCTTTAGAAAAACTGTATATATCTAATAATAAATTTTAGCAAAAACCTTTGTAAACTGCAATAGTAGCTTGTTTCTGAATGTCACTTTTAAAATCGTCGTAGCCAAATTTTAACTTTAGGACATTTCGTAACATCTTTATTAAATGTTGTAAAAATGTATTGCGACTTTATAAAAGCAATAGATAATGCGTCACGATTATATCTTATCTTAATCATCCGAATGATGTTCGGATAAACGCGAGAATTGCCATACGAAACACGCAATGTCTCACAATGGATTCGTTACAATTCAAAACTAGGTTACGTTAGGTTAGATTAGAAAATACAAAATTCGAGGTCAATAATAGATCTTTCATTTTATTTTAATTTTCTTTAATTATAAATAATAATCTAATATAATCATATACGTATAATGTAAAAGCGCATTTAATCTGTCATTGAATTATACAATTTGGAAATAAAAAGTCTGCCCAGTTATTGAGTCTTATTACTGGAAAATAAAGAGTTAAGCCAACAACAGATGTAGCTGAATGCATTTCGTGGATGCATCAAGATTGCACTTTTTAAGGTTACTAGCTAGTAATGTACTGTCCCTAAAAAATAAATTTTCCTATTGGCTATTGGATCGTCGTATGTCCGACGTCGGGTCCCAATCAGTAATGTATCAGTATTGCTTTTATAAAAATTGTAAGAGAGAGAGAGAGAGAGAGAGAGAGAGGCAGTCTAATAATAATATAAAATAATATAAAAAATGTTATTAATTGAAATCAATTTAGTACATGGAACATGGCCAGTTATTAGAGAATAAAGAGTCCTCAGAGTTAATTTCAGATGCTGTTATTAAAAACAAACCTCTAATAGCTCCCATATTTGCAGTATCCATCTACAACTCATTAATAAGTTAAATTTTCCATATTTTTTACTACAATTATCCCAGCAAACACAAAATATTAGTTATATAACATAGACGTAACACGTACTCTTGTTACCCTTATAGAAATATCATACTAAGAATCATTGATAATTATTTATTTTCAGTATTAGAAATACTGGATAATAAGTAATTATCAATGATTCTTAGTATGATATTTCTATAAGGGTACTTCTATGTTATATAGCAGTTATGTCTTTCTTTATTAAGATTGTAATATTTCAACTATATTTAATACACATTTTTGTACATTTATTGAACATATTAAATCAATTACTACTATTCTCTATCCTTTTTATTTATTAACCCAGACAACACAAAATATTTATAAAATATTTACAAATATTTATAAGATTTATTTGAATATTTTATGAATATCTACCAAAATGTTTAATAAATATATTTACAAATATATTTACAAAATATTTTTGTGATCTTAGATTCAATAGATGAAAAATATTTATATATCTCATAAATATTATAAAAATATTTATTAAAATATGTACATTTATATACATTTTTTTCTTTTCCTGAATTTTTCCTAAAATTTCCATTTTATTGTTTCTACGCTTCATTTTATTGTTTAAACACTACTTAATTGAATTTAAATTATACTTTGAAAATTTGCTTACCATTGCTGAGATCCGAATTTCTTATTTTTTTATTAATTTAATAATTTTAAATAATTACATTTATTTTTTTCATATATAATATTTGTAAATAGATATATTTACAAAATATTACTACAAATATTTATTTTTCGTTTACTATAAATATTGTATAAAATATTTAATCTGTATTTTAATAATATTTTCAATAAAGATTTGATACTATTTCCTTCATGTATATAAAATATTTATATTATATTTATATAATATTTTTAAGAAATAATTAGAAATAAATATTTATCATATATATTGTGTGCTATCTGAGAAACACACTACGTTCTGTACACCAAAGAACCGTATTCGTACTTAAGGTTTCTGCACATTCGGAACTCAGGCTACAATTTTTCGGCAGCCGCTTAGATGCTAAAAGTTGCAAGCAATTGCACGATTTTGCTTGCAACTTAAATTAAAGAACGGTCAAAATGTACGCAGTCAGCAGCTTGATGTGCGCAACTGGATATACAGAACGATTAAATTATGCATCGGATGCATCGGGTTGTATCTGTTGCGAATAAAAGAACGCACTCACGATGTTTGTTTTCGTGTTGGTTTATTTGGTAGATGGAAATATTCTGTTCTGATTGGTGCATTTCTGACATAGATAGGGAACGCACCAATCAGAACAGAGTATTTCTATCCAGCAAGCAACTAGCACAAAAACAAGCATTGTGTGGCTTTAAATAGGAGCGTCCGAGCATCGAGCGTTAAAGCGTTATGGCTCCTGCACACAGGACGCGGTAATGCTTGCCGCGTGGCGGAAGTCCGCGCGACAGCCAATCAATATGTTGTTTTTCCGTAGGAGCTAGAAGATTATTACATTAAGCAGCATATTAATTGGCTGTCGCGAGAACTTCCGCCGCGCGGCAAGCATTACCGCGTCCTGTGTACAGGAGCCATTAGCTAATCAACGTATCAGGTTCCAGAAGTATACTTGTAGTTCTTGTGAAAAGTGGCACGTTGATTGGCTACCGCTTTAACGCTCGACGCTCGATGCTCTCATGTAAAGGCACCTTTAGATCTTGCGAGTCGACGTATTGATGTGCCTTTAGAACTTAACAACTCTGCTGTCATAGAACGATTGCTTCGTAAAAAATGGCGACACTTACGAAAGCAATGCAAGTTTCTAAAGGCGTGCACAATGTAACGAAACTCTTTACAAACTTGTCTTTAACGTCAAGTGTCATTGCTTCTCCTAAACATGAATTTCGTGGCAGGTTTGTATCATATTCTCAATCTGTTTCACTTGTATTTTATGTTATTATTTGTATATAATCAACACACATTTGCGATAGCGATGTTAATTTTTGAAGTATTTCCTTCGACTTAAAAATGTTTCAAAGTTCTTCGTTTTATATAATATATAATATTATAAATATAATTATTTATACGTAAAATTTTCCGCGAGGTAATTTTTTGTATCTTAACATATAAATTGATGTATCAATTCTTGTTCAGTATTAAATGTTAAGTGAATGTAAAAATATAGATTGGAATCGAGTGATTTAATTATTTTTTTGATAAATGTAGCACACCATCTCTTTGTTGTGCATTTATACACATTACGTCAGAACGTCGTGACCTAATGGAATTTTTTGATGAACCAAACCATTGGGGGAAAAATGAAGTAAAAGTTGGTCGGTCTTGGAGGAGGGATGAATTGAGATTAAAAAGCAATTCTGATCTTCACAAGTTGTGGTGAAAAATTTATCTATTACATATTATTTATATATTTATATATTAATTATTTATATATTCTTATTTTTCTGGTACATTTCACAAATTAATATATTTAAACAAATATAGGTTTGTGTTATTGAAAGAACGTAATATGCTTATGACTATGGAACAAGCTTGTAAAGATGCTTTTGAGATTTTCCCAAATCCTGAACGTTTAGATAAGGTCCAAGACAGTATGAATAACTTGGAGACAGTAGTCCGTGAAAGAAATAGAGCTTACCACTTACTTGAGACTGGTGAGACAGGAGAAAGACCTGGGAGATTAGTTCACAATCGCTTAGGTAAGATATATATATATATATATATAACTTTAGATATACATCTAAATATATTTAAAATACTAAATTCTTTGAATTAAGAAGAATGATATGTATCATCTCATTATATATATTGTGCAATCTAAATATAAGAGATTTCTTTTCTCAAAAAACTTTATAAGTTAAGAAAAAATACCAACTTATTTATTATCATTTTTCAGGTATGAGATTTTTCTATCAAATGCGTCAGTATACAATTCCAAAATTCATGAACACAAAGTGGCACAAATTGCACCAATTTGGCTATGGTGGATTTGCAGTTCGAAAGTTCCTGCGATTATATAGAGAAAAACTCTGGAATGAGAAACGCAAAGCAAGAAAGTTCGTAATAAACACTTTTATCTATATTATTTAATATATATTTTAATATATTTACATTCATTGGAATAAGCTATCTCTTTGGTTTCTTTCAGTCGTGAAATACGTCGTGCCACCGTATTACTAAGAAGATTCCCGAATATGAATCTTGAAGCTCTAAAAAAACAATATCCAAATGTTAATGTGGAAAAAACAAAAATATTTGACGGAGCAAGAAGCCATACAGTACCTCAATGAGCGCAATGTTGATGTAATAGTGCATTGTTGAACGTCTATTATATATGTAAAGAATTTAATAATAGAAATAGATTTACTCTCTAGATTTTACCTTTACATTTTTTTTTTCTAAACATATTCAAATCTACATCTCCACTTGAAGTAATTTTAATAAAATTATGTATATATATATATATATAGCCTGATTATGTAATATTAGAGTCATATCATTGATTACATATAATTATCAAAAATAATATTATCAAATACTGATATTATGTTTGAACTACGTGTAACATTGTATCTTAGAAAATCAAAAGAATTATGATGTTCAAATTAAGGTATAGCTAAATGTTTCCTCTTTATTGTATGTAAAATGTATTAAATTAGAAAGATAGTTCTGAAGAAAAAAAATATAATGCAAAAGATAATAAATAAATGTTCATTGTTACTACACGTTGTTGTAACAATCGAAAAACCCATAGAATTTAAATAAATTCGATTAAGATGCTTTATTTTTTCTTCTTCCTTTTTTAAGATACAGTACATTTGCAAGTAGTGGTGAAAAACTGGAAAACAAATTGTCTGATTCATTCGATCTCATTCTTTATATAATTTTATTAATTTTCTATTCCCACACACACACACACACACATTATAATTTTTGTTGTACGAGGATATAGAAGTATTGTGTGAAAGGTATACGAATGTAACATTTAGAACATGTTGACACTTTAACTTGTAGAAAATTTAACCCCGTATACTTTTCACATAGTAAGAACGAGTATATGAAACCAATGTTGTATTTCCGATATCGTCCATTTAATTTACATAAATTTTATGTAGAAATTTCATGAACTTAACAAGTGATATTTATTACCTAATAGCATATCACAATCATTTACAGCTACATGAAATAATGCAGAAGTTAAATATTTATTCACAAGAATATACGAAATGCATCTGTTCATGTAGCTTTGGTAACACAAGAGATTTATGACTTAAGAAAAATAACTTTTCACATATTATTATGTCACAAATAAAACGCATTTTCATGTACAATTTTCTTCGTATTGTAATTTTATATACCATACAATATAGACTGGATACCTAGAATTTATAATTAATTTTTAAATTTTGTTTTAAAACAAATTATTTTACAATTATTTTGGTATAATCCCTGTAAGTAAAATCAGATGTTTTTTTTCACAAAGCGTTAAATATTAAATTATTTTAATACAACTCACGATATAACCAAAATCGATTCAAGCTATTAGAGTTTTAATATAAAATTACATATATTATAAACAAAATTATTTTATATAATACGTATAATACAACTATATACCTGCATTTCGCATTCACACTTATGTACTAAAAAAAAAGAAATTGATCTATATAAAATTAAAATTTTATAATCTTGAGATGTACATCATCAAGATAGAAAGTCACGATACTGAAAATAAAATCGATAGAGTTAGAATTATCAATTAGGAATGTATTAAATTATATAGTAATTTCACAAGCGATTTTTTACGAAGTATTATTCTTCGTATCGAAGCTGCTCTATAAGTATTTCTGAGTCTTATATAATATCATCTTCGACGATAAATAACTACTTTAATATCAATAGTGCGTATTCAAATGCATACTGGTTCGTTTTCTCAATATATATGTGAGTATATATAGACATTTATATAGTTATCAATACAGTGTTGCCTCACAATTATCCGTTATATTACATTCTTTGCGTTATTATAAATTAATATCATGGTGGCTTATGCTACAGGAAAAAATGTTGCACCACTTTATGACTTTTTTAGTCATCTATATGTTTACGGTAACTTATATCTTATACAAGATAATGATCCTTCATCAACATCGCAATATAGCGAGAATGCTGCGCATATATTTGTACCTTCAAATTAGAAAAAGTATTCTATTATGCCATAAGTTAGGTGCCATATGTCCGAATAAAAATATCTATTGTTCTAGCTATAAGCCACAAGATAATACCGACTGTTTCTAATTCCAAGTAACAGATATATGGCACCTAATTCGAAACAGAGGCGAAAAAAATTTAGAATACGTTGCGTAAGCGGTATACTTTGACATGCGACACAGTTCCGATTTTCTGAACATGGTTATCTGTGAATATTCACGTTCGTCGCCATTTCATGGCAATATGATAAAATAATCTCTTAAATGACGGTATTATATATTGTCTACTGGTATATTTTTTTCGTTTACTCCAAAGCTGGTGGTAACAAGTACCGCCAGGCATGCTCCAATTCTCTGCTGGCGTCTGAGCAACGTCGTTGCAGCTTGTCTTCTGGTGGAAGCGTCGCCATAGGGAACTCATCCTGTAAGAAATAGAAAACTACGTTAATATTTGCATGTTACCAATCATCATTTGCGAAATGTAGCTTTACATCGTACCAAGTTTGCATCCGCCCACAATGTTTCTAAAACCTCTCTGAAAGCACAGAGTTCCGTATAATCCGTGAAGTATATAACCCAATCACCGCTATTTTCGTGTACCTCTCGACATGCGAATTCCTATAAATATATATTTACTTAGTGATAAGGCGTGGAACCGAGAGTATACCGAGAGTATACTGTTTTACCCCATATCAATACACTCACCAGTATACACCACGACTGCTGCACTAATGGCACTCTGAACGCAGCTAAATCTTTAATAGAAGCGCAAGAGAGCGTTTGACCTCTTTGCGTGCCGGGATGGATCTCTTTCATCGCCACTAAGTGTTCTGTAGTCGTAATGAGACTGCAGGGTAGCGGTTCTCGCTTTTCCGAGCTATCGAACAGACCCGATGCGCTTTGGACGAAACTTTGCAGCCATTCAGAAGCTACGTATTCGTCCGGAGCGGCGAACTGATACGACTTGTTGGGCTTCAACAGTATCTCGAAAGTATGCGGCCGATGAGAATTAGGGATTCTTCTACATCCCTGGCACAGGCCGCCTTTTAAAGGTATGGCACGCTTAGGAAGCCGCTGATTCGAATCTGTGAACATGTAAACTACGCCACCTTTCAGAACAAAGTAGCCGGCTTCCCAGGGATTTGTGGGTGCATTCGGATGTAAATGCTGATAAGTGTGCGGCCGGAACATTAAATCACCCTCTTTCATTGGTCCGCACGGCGTGCTAGGCGGTGACATATGTTCGTCTTCCATATAAATAAGACTGTAATGTTCGATTTTCTCATCCTGTAACAGTAGATAATTGATAAAACCAGATATAGACATGGCGATTGCACGTAGATATAACGATATGTAGACCAGCTCCATATTTATCGAAAAGGTCAACATAATTTTTTCTCGTTAAATTTGAAGTCGATCGTTACTAGTAAAAGTTTAGAAGCAATAATCGAGTTTATAAATTACGAGATATTAAAAGTGAAGAATTATATTATGAATTGTTACTCAGAGGCGAAAATATATAATGTTATATTCGTCCTGTTTAATACTTAATCGTTCAAGATACTGCAACAAAAATACCATAGCTGCATAAAAATAAATCTCTACATACTGGATGCACTGCTGTGTCACAAAGAATCGAATTCCTCAGAATGTGCATATCCTCGTAATTCAGTTCTTTAACAGCGGGAAGTTTCGGTTTCGATGGCGATCGTCTCATGGCCATTTCTAAATGGCCAATTAACTCTGAGGTAGTTTGCGAACTGCCAGTGGAAAATAGATATTGCATCTCGCAGTCGGCATTGGATATTAAAATATTTTGTGCATTCGGTCCAATCTAAAAAAGCATACATATTTCATTTAGCAAAATGTATGCATATCTTTGAAAATATAATTAACTATTTCAAATTCTCTTACCATTATGACGTCTAATTCATTGTAAGGGATAACGAACTGGTTGCTATAAGAGTGGTCAATCTTGGAACCAGTTAAATATAGCGTCTTATCTGTCAATAGTGCAATCATTGGTTTGCTCTCGCCGTTTGTCATGTAAGAGCTCCTGACTTTGTATACTTTATACAGCTCCTCCGTTTTATCGCGATAAATATGTCTCTTGAAAAGTTCTCGCAGTTTTAGGCTTATTTTCTCACCGCTGAACTCCTGCTTCTCGGCAGCCACGTTCTCCTGAATTTCCTTGTCGAGATTGTCATTAAAATCTTTGAAAGAATCGTAGCTCGTTTTGACTCCTTTGATGTATAGAGTGTTCGCTTTCGGCGGCTTCTTGTTCTTCTTGATCTCGAACTTCCTTTCCGTGATCGATTTCAGAAATCTACTCAGCAACGACGTCTTCGACGGTGCCTGGCGCAAAGACGGCGCCAACAGCTTGCTGCTGTTTTCACCTGTCAATATCGCCGTCATGTTGCGCTTCTTTAGCGGCGAGGCCAGATGTCGGTTACTCTTACGTTCATCCAGATCGGACGTTGTCACGCTATCTACATCCGACCAGTCACTCGAGTTAGCATACTTCTTCGGGTTGGTAATTTGCGGCATCTCCACCTTGGCTGGTGGGTCTTCGACGATATTGCCGCATGCTTTTTCGACGATGTATGCTTCCTGGGCCTCGTTCTCTTCCAATTCTATTTCCATTTTGGGTCTCAAACTTTTCCCCGGGTCTTCCTGACCCTCCGGTGCTCCACGCTCCGACAGGGATAAACCACAGTTGCACTTGCAATTGCGCTGACATGGCACTTCGATACAGAATTTCGACGATGTTTGTTTATCGGTGTCACTATCGAATGTACTGGATGATGACGAAAAGGAATAACAGTCTGAATGCACGTTCCTCCCCGTGTTTGCGTTCTTCTGAGTATATGGCGAGTCACCGTGTGCGCACCAACTGTACCTGCCTTTCTGAGCGTCCCTCTTCAGAACAGAATTGGGAGACAAGAAACTCATAGAGAAATCGGCATAGCTCTCATCATCTTCCAGTTTCATCGTCTTTAGTATATCTTCGTGGAAGCTGACTCGCTTCTTACTTTCACCGCGCTTCTTCTTACGCTGCCTACGTTGTACTATGGCCTCCGAACTGGAGGAAGACAGAATGCTGGCGTCGGTCATGTTAATGGTATTCAAGATGCCATACGGAGTATCCATGTTATCGCAATCGGAGATAGTCATGCTCAGCTCTAACAAATTCGTATCATTATTGATTAGATAAGAATTGCGAGGATCTATGTTTTTCTTAAAACTATAAGCACTATCACTGTAATAAGTGCTTCTCTTACTGAGATCCTTCATGCCGTTATCGATTTTGCCAATTTTATCCAACTTTGTTTCATCAAGACTTTTACTATAGAAGTCATAGCCTTTAATAGTCTCCAAACTAGAACAATTCATTTCGTTATCATCGAGTTTCCGTGTTACGTTCTGATTAACTATGTCGTTCTTCGTCATCATAACGGTCTGAAATTTGGTGATCGCCGGTGATTGAGTCGGTGTCTTGCCATCCTCGCTAGAGTCACTGGATCCGAAATTCTTATTGTCTTCCATGCAGTTGTTGATCATTGTCTTGTACCTGTTATTTCGATATTTAGGAATATCGTCCATTGAAAAGTCCTCCTGCAAAGATTCATATATATATATATTAATATATATGTATATATATTCGTATGGATTATTCAACGATAGATTCTCCTCTGCATGGTCCTCATACAATCTAAATATTTACCTCTTTGTAACTGCTACCGTCGGTCTCATTCGCAAGATCCATATCACTGTCAAACGCAACACCACTGTCCCCCGGAGAAGCTAGGCTCGATGAAACACTAGAAGATCTTAGATGCAACGATAAGACTGTTCCTGATGGGTTTACGCTCATAGGCCTCTGTGGCATGTAATTACAGATGTCCAGATACGTCACATCCTGATACCACAATTTCCATATAATATCAATTTTATACTTTAGCCAATGTATCATAAATTATCGGTTAAGCACATGTTGACATAACGTATCGTGTAACTTGCAAATAATTCTCGCAAAAGCTTCCCTACTAACAAGTTTCCAGAAAATTTTCCATGAACAAACAGACTGTGTAGTGTACAATGCATGCAAGATAAAGTATGCGGATACGTGAAATCAGTTGCTACATAATATATATAATTTTACATTATATATATATATATATATATATATATATATATAATTTATAATCAATGTGTAGCAAGTTATTAAATGCGCATTGATATGACAAATTTTGCAATTTTAAGTTAATCCCGTGAAAAGATAACTTTTTTCTCTCACTAACGTGTTTTCAGAAAATTTTCCACGACTAAAATCGAACCATGCGATACATAATTCGCAAGAAATAAAAGAGTGCAATCAAAAATAAAGCGATAACCCGTTGCCCCTGTAACTGCTGCAACTTTATATAAAAAGATCTATCGGTATACACGACGCGTGTTATATGTGATTAATATTATTCATTAGTGCGATAAGTGTAACCAGGGGGTGATATTGATATCTCGCTCTCCGCGGGAGAAAATGAAATAAAAATCCTACGATGTGCTAAACATACAGCGGAGAGAAAGTTAATCTCTACTCTCTGTCAAACTGTTATTACTTATGAAACTGCTTCGTAAACTATTTATATCCTGTATTTATTACATTGGCTTCACGTACCAATTGCAGTGTGAAGGACACGTTTTCCAGACCGGCGAGAAGATTGACCAGTTGATTGGTCTTATCAGCATCTCTTACAAGCGCATGTGGAAAGTACTGCTTTTTTAAAGTCTTGGTGTCTCGCAGTAAACAGGCCAGATAGCTTTCAAAGCTACCCTCACTCAGAGTGTGATAGAGCCATGCTCGACCTGCACATTATTATTATTATTGTATATATAATATGTATCACTATGATATTTTATCGCAAATAAAAACGTTTAACTATATTTATTCTTAAATATAGTCTAAATATCAGTCTAAATAGTTGCAACTGCAACTTTACAAGTTGCACTTAAATTATTAAACGTATGCAAATATCATGCACATTGTTAAATGTATTTAACAATGTGTAATTTTAACTACATAAAATATTGATGATAGAGGAATTTGTTTGAAATTTAAAATAATCATATGAAAGTTCTTTTAAATTAAGTAGTTTAAGACTATGCAGTTATTCCTTGTTATATAACATTAAGCAATCTAGTTGTTATGAAATGCTGCAAAATGTTACTTTAAATTCGTTTCTCAGACAAATCAACAGCTTTGCGATAAGATAAAGTTGCAAATACATTCGTTAAATACACGTTTTAATCTAATGATAATTAAGCATCAGAAAACAGAGGAGACTGCATTCTCGTGTAATCAATATTCATATGTACCTTTTCCAATAGATGTCAATACACTCTGTAGTGCATGAATGACCACAACAGTATCCTGGTGGCTAAGTTCTCTAGCAGTGCCCCAATATCCATGTCTTTCTACACGTAATCCGTGACGTAATGCCCGATCCAGCCAGTAAACCAACCAAGAGTCACCATCCAAGACCACAGTGCCATATAGACTTTGGGCATAGACCTGCATGTACATATTATTTTTATCTATCACATATCTATTGTAAGTATATCTATAAATATTTATTGATATCTTCCCAGACAGCACAATGTTCAAAACTAAGGCACAAGTCTTTAAGACATCTTTAAGACAATTTAAGGCGTCTTATGTCCAGACGTCTTAAAGTTGACTTAAAGATGTCTTATGTCCTATTTTTATATTTTTACCCATATTTTGGACATGTGCTGTTTGGACTTTTTACAAAATAGAACTGAGAAATTACAAAAGAATAGAATTATTCATCACTAAATTAAGATATTCAAGCATTCACTGTCGCAGCAGTGACAATAAATTACATGATTATAATACTTGCTCAGCTGAAAGTATGAAGAATATATGTAAAAATACAAATTTGAGAACACCAAAAAATTGTAATTTGCTTTGATCCAAAGCATTGATTTTCACTAGCAAGAGAGTAGAAAAAATGTTGTGTAAAAAGATGAAGTGGGCAACAAAAAAAACAATATATATTTTAAGCATACTTCTAACTTTCACTCAGAGCATGTATCTCAGATTTACTGGTACAAACAAAACAATCTTCAATACCACAACAATGCAGATTTTAATCCATTCTCCTTTGTTCGTACCAAAAGAGAAATAATAAAGAAACGGCGGAACAGAGGAAACGAAGCACGGAAAGCGAGAAAGAGAATAGGTCTTTTATCAGCTGTTCCGTACAACGCACATCCGCGCAACTGTCAAACGTCAATGCAGTCTGACAGTTAACTACTCTCGATTACAGAGAAAGTGCAGAATGACTCACTTCTGGACAGTATCGTCGTCGTCTCGTTGTTTATATGTCGTCGCACGCACAAACAAACGAGGTAGACGTAAGATTCGCGACGCGTATACTTCGTTTAAAAGGACAATGATGCGACATTAGTTCACAGTATGCTCGCGCATTGTCATTCGTGTGTACATGCGCGCGCGCACATTTGTATGTGTGTGTGCATGGGCGTTCGATTTCGAACTGCTCGCTGCGTCGCGATTAACCCGCGAGTAGGGTTTGCTACGTCACACGAAACACGCATACATATATATATATATATATATACATACACATGTACACGTATATACGAACATACTCCAATTCCTTTCTAAGCGCATGACATGCAGCTAAAAACGAACAAACCTCGTACTGTAACGGATACAACAATTCATTAGTTTAACGTCATCGAAGTAACAAGATTTATAATTCGCCGCATTTTCTCACATTTCTTCTGTATGTAAACAAGAAATTAAAGTATATTCGAGATGGAACATTTAGCAAATACAATATAAAGGAAAAATTTTGCGGGATCGTCTCTGAACGTGCCTCTATTCTCTATTCGATCCCGATAGTGTTCTCGTTCAGATACAGCATGCGTATCGATTTTACGATCTTAAATGCTACTAAAATGCATTCGCATTTGAGTTGATGATCTCAAAGTAGCAGTTCTGCCAAATTTTCCGCCGTTACACGGCTTCGACATTGCGGAGCTTAGTACACATGCAATAGTAGTGATTGCAGTAGTAACGGCGACACATGCATCTATAGGAAAAAAACGGCCTTGGCAAGCAGCGGGACCGAGATGTCCGATGGTGCCTCACCAGTTTCACCGCTTTCGTGAGCTCCTGCAAGATCCTGGCTTTGGAGAGGACCTTGTCGGTGCAGAGATCCATGTCCTCGCGGCCCGGCATCTCGTTGCGCGCACTCACATGATCGTAACCGAGGTCGCGCCTACGCCGAGACTTGCTGTGAAAAACGCCGGACAGACTGCGGCGAAACAGGCCGGACGCGGTGCGAGCGACACCGATGACATCGACGACGGCGACGACGACGCGACTCGACGGTGGCGTCGGCGATGGTGGTGCAGCGCCGTTGACACTCTCCGCGCCGGTCGTGCTCATTGATTTTAGCGACGCGCAGGTCACCCGCGACATTCAAGCCGCCCGTCGACACCGACTGGCGAAACTGACGGCGTGGAGCCGCGCGTTCGCCACTTTATGCCCGCGTTCTTCTCCTTCTTCTCCTTCCCGGACTTGGAAAATATCTTACGTAAGGCTGACTCGATACGTACCAAGCGCGATATTAGAACTGCCTCGTGTGCTTCGCGTTTGTTTCGAATCGCGCGGTTTTTACGAGATAAATTTATCATTGCGATTGAACGACTCACGGTGTGACCATATCGATACCTCGAAGTTTGTAACCATCGCGACGTGGTGGCGATGGCGGCGCGTTCAGATTCGACAAGTCAGTCTATTTTTTCGTGATTATCATCCACCAAAGTCGAGCTCGAGCTATGCAACTCGGGTCGCTCAATAATCATGTGATAATATCCGCGAGTGGATAATAACGGAATAACTATAATCGAATAATCGGTAATAACAATAAATAACAATAAATGGGTAACGATGATAATAACTGATTAAAGACAAGGTAAAGAAATTGTCGTAACGGCACGCCCGAGTTGCTTTCCTATGCATAATAGCAATAATTAAATAATAACCGAATAAATTAAATAAGATCTGAATAAAGAAGTAATTCGAATATTAAATAATAGTGATAATAATATTTGCTCGACAATCGTGTGATAATATCCGTGAGATTATAACGAAATAATGATGATCGAATAATCGGTAACAACAATACCTGGATAACGGCTCTAACAAAAACTCTAGACTCCACAAAGGCTAGGTAAACAGATCGTCGTAACGGCCGCTCGGGCCGTTGACTGAGCGTTGGGGGGGGG